AAATTTAGGAGAGGAACAATCCTATACCAATCCAAGCTTGCACAAAATTTAGGAGAGGAACAATCCTATACCAATCCAAGCTTGCACAGAATTTAGGAGAGGAACAATCCTATACCAATCCAAGCTTGCACAAAATTTAGGAGAGGAACAATCCTATACCAATCCAAGCTTGCACAGAATTTAGTACAGGAACAATCCTATACCAATCCAAGCTTCCACAGAATTTAGGAGAGGAACAATCCTATACCAATCCAAGCTTCCACAGAAATTTAGGAGAGGAACAATCCTATACCAATCCAAGCTTGCACAGAATTTAGGAGAGGAACAATCCTATACCAATCCAAGCTTCCACAGAATTTAGGAGAGCAAGAATCCTATACCAATCCAAATTAGCACAAAATTTAGGAAAGCAACAGCCCCATGCCAGTTGAAACATGCACAGAATTTATGAAAAGAAAAATCTGGTCCCAATCCAAACTTATACAGCATTTAAGAAAGGAACAATCCCATGCCAATTCAAACCTGAACAAAATTTAGGAAATCAACATGTCAATCCAAACCTGCATAAAATTTAGGAAAGTGACAGCACCATGCCAATCGTAACCTGCACAACACTTGAGAAAGCAACAATCCTGTATCAGTTCAAAATTGCACAGAATTGTGAAATATAAATCTGGTGCTAATCCAAATTTTACAACATTTAGGAGAGTAACACTCCTGTGCCAATCCAGTCAAGTTTCCAACTTATGTTTTGTGCAACCTTATCTAAACATACTCTGCAGTCTATGATGTAATTCAACAGTCATATGAGCTGAAAATACAATACTTTATATCATTTTATTTCATATCTATATTTAGTTCATATATGTTTAAAACATTACTATTACAATAAAACTTAAGCTTCGATACTGTCACAACTTTGTTCCAAATTGTAACAATATCTATACCTTCAAATTTTCCATTACTAACATACAGCAGAATATAAAAATACACACTCACACATAAATATATATATATATATATACTTCACAAAAGGATGTATCATTTTTACAAAGTTAAATTCAGAGGACCTTTAACGGTAATCTCAATTTGTCAACAAATTTAATAATAATTATGTACAAAGATAACAGTTCATAATTTTTGTATTAACATGAGCATTGAATAGAACAAATGATTTAGATATTTTTGGTTTAAATGTTTTTATAACAAAATAAAGTGTGTGAAAAATTAATTTTTGTCTCTTCCTCTATTGCAGATTTATCATTATTTTTCCAAACATTAATATTCATTATAAATCATAATTTGACTAAATTCTTCAAGAAACACTGAAACAAAGTACAGGTATGTGGAACTTACTCATAGATGTCACTTTCAGCTTCATCGAGTTTACGGTATGATGCTGTAGAGAAGTACTTCCACAGAGGTAGTCCAAAGTATAGCTCATGATAGGCCTCAAAGAGCTTCTGAACAGCACTTATCATAACAGCCCCATCACTGCTTTCAACAAGCCCCCTGTTTAAACACCCGAGCCTCCTTTCCAGACACAACATCCAAGTGACTGTGAACAAGTTAGAATAATTTGAGTCAGCTGTTCTCATTATTTAACATTATTACACAACACAGTAGTCAGCTGTTCACATTAGTTAACATTATTACACAACACAGTAGTCAGCTGTTCAAATTATTTAATATTATTACACAACACAGTAGTCTGCTGTTCACATTATTTAACATTATTACACGACACAGTAGTCAGCTGTTCACATTATTTAACATTATTACACGACACAGTAGTCAGCTGTTCACATT